AGACAGACCCACACACACAGACACACAAACATAATACACACACATATAGACACAGACTCACACACATACTCATACACACATACCTACCCACGCACACAGACACACACAGAGACACACGCAGATACACACAGACACACACACAGACACACATAGACACACACAGACACACACGCAGACATACACAGACACACAGACAGACACACAGACACACAGACACACACAGACACAAACGCACACACACCCTCTCTCTCACACGCACACACGCGCGCACGTACACTCGAACGCTGTCAAACACATGCGCACGCCCGCGCAACCAACCACCATACACAAAGAATATATCCCTCCCTCCCCCTGTCTCGGCCACACGCACAAACGTACACCGCACACAACACACGCATCGACACTTCACGCCACGCGCACGTGCTTACGCACACGCATACACCTGAGCATTGTCTCAGTGTGGAGGGCTCAGGGTGAAATCCATATGGGCGACTGCATCTCGAAAACTAATTCGTCTTGTGGTTGGGTGGCTTTCCAGGGCGAGGCTTGTGTTGCGCAGCGGCCTGCACATTTGCAGCGTTGCTCTCTGCTGCGACGTCGCTATCGCGCTCACGCGTGATGAGATACGATTGATGGCCCTCCCGAGCCAGTCTTTCCAATGAACTTTTGCCACCCGCCGATGTCGCGCGCGGGGTTGGTCTTGCCTCCACGGTTCCACGCGCAACGCACCTGAGAATGGCAAGCGGGCGCGAACTCTTCGACGCTCTCTCTGAGGACCTGCCCTCTGCCGCCGGCCCCCCGTCCCCGATTGGCTGGATGGCTGGCCCGCTGGTTGGCTAATTAGCTGGAAGACTGATTGTTCGGTTGGCTGGTTGGCTGGTTGGCTGGCCAGCTGACTCCCTGGGACACTCGGGTCGGGCGAAAGGGGGGGATAGCAAAGGGGGGGCTTGAGAATCGGCTCACGTAGCTGATTTTCCCGGCGCCTCCTGGCGCCAGGGGCGGCCATGTATCGAAGAATGGGCCCCTCCGTGGGGCCGAAACCAGCTGCATGCAGCAGATTTCGTAACCCCCCCTTTCCCAATCCCCCCCTTTCATCCGGCCCGAGACACCGAGCACGCGACGGGCGCCCGCAGTGCACGAGCACGCGGCTGGCACCCGACGGGTGGACGAGCACGCGACCGGCGCCCTGGACAGGCGAACGAGCACGCGAATGTCTGGCGCCCGACAGGTAGACCCAACGTTCTAGAAATGCTTTTTCGTGTTCTGGAACTTACCGCTTCTTTGTATGACAATATTGGCGTTGTATTCGGGGATGGACAGATCCCCCTTTAGCAAAACGTGGTCTAGTGAAAACGACCCGAGGCCCAAACCTGGCGGGCGCAAGCCTGGAAAATAACGGCCACGGCGCCCTCTCGAGAACCGAAAACGGACAATTCACTAATCGACGTGTCACTGTTGGGGGTTCTGTCCACCCCCGATGTATTGTATAACTTCTCTAACTTGTGTTAAGTGCTATGCTAGATTCTGGAGCTCCATCTTGCGCTCTAGGACTCCTCTCGTGCTTCTCAAGCGTACGCAGCATGTCGTTTGGTGTTCTAGAACTCGTTTCGCATTTCAAGAGCAGCCTATGGCCGTTCGGTGGGAAGAGCGTGCGACAAATTGCGGCACCGATAGCGAGGCGGCGGCGGGTGCCCTGGGTGGGGCACGGCGGGCTCAAGAAGAAGGTACACGCATGTTTGTGGAGCCACCGTGCCACTACTTGGCGACATGGGGGGGGCCTGGATAGAAAGAGGGCGACACGAATTGAAGTGCTGAAGACGGCGTTGGCGTGGTCGGGGGCCGAGTGCGCTGGATCTCAAAGGAGTGACGAAAGAACTCTTCGCCGTCTTTAGCGATTCGCACGGGCGGCTGGACGATGATATGGGAGTTGAGTGGGGCGGCGTGTGCAGGAGGAGGCGGCGCCAAAGGTGGGGATGGAGGCAGAAGCGGTGGTGCAGGAGGTGGAGAAAGGAAGGATGGAAGGGAGGGGGGGGGAAGTTGGCGGATAGCGATGTTTTGGGACAACCTGCATTTGAGATTGCTCCTTCTGCCCTTCGCGTAAAGAGAACGCTCTGTGCACACACGCGCAAACACGACCACGCACACACGCCCACGCAGACACAAGCCCCCCAACCCACACACACAGACACACACACACAGACACACACACACACAGACACAGACACAGACACAGACACAGACGCACGCCCACACGCCCACACAGCACACACACCACGCACACCACACACACCACACCCACTACACACAAACACAAACACACACAAACACACACACAAACACACACACACACAAACACCACACACCACACACACCACACACACACACCACACGCAGACACACACAGACATACAAGCACACAAAAACACACAAAACGCAAACACACAAACACACAAACACACAAACACGCGAACACACAGACACACAAAGACACACACAATCACACAAACACACAAACACAAAAACACACAAGCACTCAAGCACACACGCACACAAACACACAGACACGCAAACACACAAACACAACACACGCAAACACACAAACACACAGACAAACACAAACACACAGACAAACACAGGCAAACACACAGACACACAGACACACAGACACACACACACAGACACACAGACACACCGACACACAGACACACAGACATACAGACACACATACACACAAACACACACACACACACATACACGCACCCACACCCACACCCACACCCACACCCACATCCCCACACATACACGCACACGCACACGCGCACGCACACGCACAAGCACATGCACACGCACACGCACACGCACATGCACACGCACACGCACACGCACACGCACACACACACACACGCGCACGCCAACACACACGCACTCGCACGCACACGCACACGCACGCGCACACGCACACGCACACGCACACGCACACGCACCCCCACAAACACACACACACACCACACGCACAACACACAACACACAACACACACACACACACACGCACACATCGATGCACACGCTCGCACGCTCACACAGATCGATACGAACAGAAAGGCTGCGGGCAAACGACCGTTCTATCTGGCACGCTGCCGACAAGTGGAAGGCGTCGCAAATCGCTGGGGCCTCCGGAGGCTCAAACTCAGACTGCTGCGCACATTGCCCCCGGGGGCGGTGCGCGCCCGCCGCCGCCGCTTCGAGCCAGACGGCCGTGTGCAGCAGATCTCCGGCGGCCCCCGGCGGCTGCAGGTTGAGCCACAGCCTTCCTTCGGCTCGACAAGCTGCCAAAGTCTCGCTTGCCGTGCAGCCTGTGCGCACTGTCGCGCCTGACTGGCCACAACATGGTGCATCAGCCCAACTGAATCCGCGCCAAAGTTTTGTTCCATGCCAAAGACGTCGCGTGTCTGAAATCCTTCCATGTCTGACTTGCGCCTCCATCGAACGAATGACTGCAGCACGGACTGGACGCTGTCTTCACCGCACTAACGCGCACCATCCTGTCGAGAAGATGACTGACCATGGACCGCGGACACGATGTTCAAGCTGGTGTGCCCGCGCAACTCAATTGGTAGTGGGTCCGAAGTGCCTCCGCCAAATACCTCCACCAAAACAAGCCTTATGCGAACAACAAAACCGTGAAGACAGCGAGTGTTGGCCAAGGATTCCCTGGAGGAAGGGAAGGAAAAAGAGGATCACTATGAATTTGTGATGCTGCCCCCATCGCTCCCGACCCAGGCCCCCCCCCCCCACATGCACTGCTACACGTACTCTTTTCGCCAAGGCGAGCGCCCCCTCGAAATGCCATCGCCCCACAAGGCTGCCATGCAGGCGGGAACCCCGTTGTAAAATGATCGCCGCACACCCGCACAAAAAATGCACATGTCAAACTGTATGATTTCAATGAAAAGTAGACGTCGGACAAGACGCCGCACGTTGTGCAACAAAGTGTCGGCCTCCATCCGTGTGGTTGTTGCACAGGTCGGTTCGTCGTATTGATCAGCAGTATACGAATACCAGTTTGACAAAGAGCCGCAATCCATCGCTGTCCCCCTGCTTCGCATACACACATATGTGTATTTATGTAGTGTGTGTAAGTGTACATGTTTACACACATACGTATATGTATGTGTGTGTATATATATATGTACAAATATACTAGAACTACGCGCGCGTTGAAGTTCTAGTCCGCTCCGAAGACGTCATCCTCACCCTCAGCCTTTCTATCTCCACCCCACGCCCATGGCAGCCATGCAGTCCTGGAGATCACGCACGCGGGAATGGGGTCGTCGGCGTCGTCGGCGGCGTCGTCGTGGTCGCGGACAAGGTGGAAGGGGAAAAGATAAGGAAAGATGAGGAGGGGAGGGAGGGAACAAGGGAAGCACGGAGACAAGAAAAACACGAGGGGAGGGAACGCGAAAAGGAGGGATCAGCGGATGGGTACGGATTCCTCTTGCCTCCTCATGTTTGCTCTTCTCCTCCTCCTCCTCGTTCTCCTCATCCTCATCGTCTGCCTCCGCACCCCTCATCGTCCTCCTCCTTCGCTTCTTCTTCCTCTTCCTCGTCCTCGTCCTCGTCCTCCTCCTTCTCCTCCTCCTCCTCGGAATAGCGGCGGCAATCATGTTTCCGGAAGGCTCTCCCGGAACATGTAGTTTGGAGCGTGGTTGGGGCCCTTTGGAAGGCCTTGTGGCCTCCTGTGGGTGACTGAAAGAAGACGGTTGGAGTTTCGGCCAGCGAAGCAGACATGCTGGAGAACCATCTTCTCCGAAGACTAGCGGCGGCAATCACGTTCCCGGAAGGCTCTCCAGGAACAGAATGGTTGCGGCCGTGTTGGGGCCTTCGTGGAGGCCTCTGTACGGCCTTTCTGGGGTGTCGAAGCTCATTATTGGGGCCGTCTTGGGGCTCCACGGCCGCCTGTAGACCCTTTTGGGGTGCCAGGGCTCGTTTGAAGGGTGGTTTTATTTCTTGCTCATACAGTGGCGACCTATAGTGGCACCTCAAGGTGCAATTTCGATCATCGTTTGTGTCTACTGCAATCCGTCTGGACCTCAACAAAAAAGCGTGCCCGGCGAGAAGCGTGGCCAATTCAATGGCGGCCAACTGCGGCAGCCAACGCCACGTACATCATCTTTGACACAACGGTCACGCACTTCACAGCTAAGAGAGTATATCGCCGTGGACCGCGTAGAATATAGGGAACACGTTGATACGCCTAGACACAATATACAAGCTCAGGGTATCAACGAGTATCTCTGGTACAACTTGTGCTGCCAGTATCTGGAAACCAAAGCATAGAGTAAAACTCCTAAAGCCAGTCACGAACCCTCGAACACAACGCCCCCCACGACCACTCCCCAATGCAAAACACTCCAACACCATGTCGGACAAGTATTTCACTATCTTCAGTGACAGCTTCATCTTGCTAACGAAAATAGCTACCCCGTTTTGGCCCTTCATAACTTTGTCGACTGCTGCCATAGCCAGGTACTCGGTAACTTTGGTTTGCACTACCTCGACAAATACCTAGAAGACCGATGCACTTAGTACAGCCCAGAAGCTCGGAACAGTCGTGATGACAATCTTGTCGGCGACCATCAAGACAAAATCAAAACCAAAATACACATTATCGTACGTTTCGCAAGTAGTCTCCTGCGTAGAATGCTGTAGCCACCCGTTCGCATCAACCAATGCCTTGACCTCGTTGTACTTCATCCTCTCCTGCAGTGTGCTGACGCCGACCTTGGCGACTGCAATGGCGAAGAGACAGCTGTACCTCGAGAGTGCGGAGGCATGTCCTTCGATGGATCCCGCGAAACCGCCGCGAGGAAGAGCAGGCACATGGGTCCGATGAGGACCGAGGTTGCCGCGGTCGCTCTCTTGCTTCCTGTGACAGCCACGGGCGCCCGAACACTAGGCTCCAGGTGACGCGCTGCCACGGTGAACACGAAACTGTTGAACCAGGCAGCAAAAAGGCATACAATGGCGCAACACCGCAAGTCGACGCCGTACCCTCGCCAACGGTTGTCATTGGTGTGCGTACGCACAGCGAGGTACACAATGATCGACCACGTAATTGTGGCAATGATCTCGTACCCAATCCGAGGACGGTGCCAACTACCGGCCGTGGAGTACGGCATGAAGTTGAAATTGATCGCAAGGATGTTCGCGCCATAGAACAACTGGTGGCCAACAAGTGGCACTATGATCATATTTGAAACCGCTGGTTTCTAGAACCCCTTGAAGGAGAAAGAGAACCGAAATTGAAACGCACGTCAACACAAAAACTTTCAATGTCACGAACGCAACCGTCCGCGCGATCCCTCGCCACCATAATAACCCGACACAGTTTTCAATCGACACGATACTCTCCATCAGGGGCTGATACTCTTCCTGGGCAAACCATTCGCCCTTCAAGCTGCTCAAACTATTGTGCGGCTTCAGGTCAATGCTGCTCAAACTGATGGTACTCGTGCTGTTACTGCTGATGCCCGTGCTGCTAACACTACTTTTCGGTGATCGGCGCTCCAATGCTGCGCTCGGTTATGGCGCTTCGTTCGGTTCAAGCGAACGACCGATTAGCAGATCACCCTCTCTGGCTTCGACTTCCAAACCTGTGTCGCACTGTAAACCAGAAGGCTTCATTATGACATACCGAACCAGCGCCTTTGCCTTCGCGACGGCATGAACTAAGACAACTTGAGCCAAAACGGCTTGAGCCAAAATGGCTACGGACTGTTTGAAGGGCAGTCTTGGGGCGTCTTGTGTCATCTTGGGCGCCTCTTGAGCCGATTTGGTGCCCTGTTGATGTGTGTGTGTGCATGTTGGGGCTCTCTTGGAGGCCCCTTGTGCCGTCTCCAAACGTCGGGAAGCAGATCAGGCAACAACGGGAAAATTCTCGAACAACTAAAAAGGAATGCCATTATTTGTTTGCCAATTGGGGCTTTCTAGGAAACAGATTGGAACTCTCCGGGGGCGTTTTGAAAACCTTGTGAGCCGTCTCGAAGCAATGGTGGGCGTGCTGGGGCTGTTGCAGGGACCTGTGGGCCCCCTTGAAGGCCCTTTTGGCGTGTGCAGGCTCCTTTGGGAAGCCGTCTTGGGACCTCTTGGACATCTTGGGCGCCTCTTGGGCCGTCTTGGCGCCCTTCTGGGACTGGTTGGGGCCCTCTTGGATGCCTGCTGTGCCGTCTCCGAATGTCCGGAAGCGGAGCAGGCGACGATGGGAAAATCGTCGACAAACCAGAAGACAATCAACGGTGTCTGCCTATTGGGGCTCAGCTGGAAAGCAATTTGAAGCACTCTTGGGGCGTCTTGGAGGCCCCGTTGGCTGTCTCGAAGCAATGATGGGCGTGCTGTGGCTGTTTTGGGGCCCTAGTGAGCCCCCTTGAGGGCCCTTGTGGCGTGTCCAAACTGATGTGGGAGGCCGCCTTGAGCCCTCTTGAGCCACCTTGGGCGCCTCTCGGGCCGTCTTGGCGCCCTCCTGGTGTGTTGTGACTCTCTTGGGCGCCTCTTGTGCCCTCTCTGGGCGTCGGGCAGCGGAGGCGACCACACGGAAATCCTTGAAACAACCCACGGTATGTTTACGAATTTTGATCATTGGGGCTCTCTCGATTGCAATTTGGAGCCCTCTTAGGTGGGGCGTCTTGGAGGCCTCGTGGGCCGTTTTCGCGAAGCAGCGGTGGGCGTTTTGGTGCCCTCTGGGCCCCCTTGATGGCCCTTTTGCGGTTCGATGCTCGTTTGCCCCCCCAAAGAGGCACTTTGGCACCGGTCCGGGCCCCACATAAGACTTTCTCATGATACACATATGTCTATATATTTACACATTATGCTCGCTCCCCTCCCAGCACCACCCAAACGACAGACTGGGAGGGCCTCCTCCTCCTCCTGATCATTATTTTCCTCTTGCTCTTCTTCCTCCTCCTCCTGCTATTCAGGCAGTCGCAGTTCAGTCGATTGCAGTCCACTCGGATGCAGTCCAACCGATTCCAATCGAATCGATTGCAATCCAATCGGTCGCAAGCCAATCGGTTTGAAAGCCAATCGGTTGCAGCCAAATCGATTGCAAGACAATCGTTCGCAAGCCAATCGATGGAAAGACACCTCCACGTCGCCTCCCCCCTCACTCCTCGTCCCCCCCTTACCTCCCCCGCTCATCTTTCGTTGCTTCATCGTCCTTGTTGTCCTCTGTCTTGGAGCCCGCTCGAAGGAGGAGTGCGGGGAGTGGGAGGAGTAGGAGGGGGAGGAGGAGGAGGAGGAAAAGGAGGAGGAGGAGGAGGAGGAGGAGGAGGAGGAGGAGGAGGAGGAGGAGGAGGAGGAGGAGGGGGAAGAGTGGAGGGGAGAGGGGAAGGAGCGGATAATGATGAGGAGGGCGAGGTCCCCGAATCGCACTGTCTACATTCATTGTTTGTGTTTTCTTTCAGCGCGTGCGTGCGAAACCCTTTTTTCCGTATTTTTGCGCTCCTGCAGAAGACGTGGGCAATCCTGCAAAGGGCGCCGAGCAATGTGACCGCACACTCGAGAAAAACATCCTTTACAACCAGAAGGTCAAGAAGGCCAACGCCAATGCAACCACGCTGAAGCTCAAGCGGCAGTTCCAGGAGCCCCTGCTGCGGCAGATTGCGGACCTGGAACAGCAGGCTGAGATGGGACATGCTGTTTTGCGTTCTTTGTTGGTTTGTTCTAAACGCATTGCCACGCGTGTTTGTGTCCAGTTTGGGTGGCAGCAGGGCGCCGCCGCGGACCACTGCGAGCTAAGCGGGAAGCTGCATTCATGCTGTCTACCATCTCCTATGTTCCCTCGTTCGGAATCGCAAGAGAAGCAATGGCACCAGGGACAGCCGCAACAGCAGCAGCCGCAGACGCAACCTGGGTCCGCCCACCCCTCCAACTGCCCCCGTCCGTTCGGCTGCGTTGCGGCCGCGCCCGCGCAGGATCGAGTACATGACTTGAAGAAACAGCTGGCCCAATGCCAGAAAGGCAAAGTTTCTGCGGAGGCCACGGCTGCCGCCGCCGCGAGGACCGCCCGAGCCTGGAACTCGTGGCTTCGCTCCTTCCCTGCCGCGTGCGACCAGGAGCTGCCGCCGCAGGCGGCCAGACTGCTGCGGGACTGGGCCGCTTGGGGGGCAGGGATTTGCGATCTCTTTCGTCTTGTACGGGACAGCCATACAGTCGGGGCGTTGACCTAAGGAACCCTAAATGAGGAACAAGGCCCCTTTTTCTCATAAATTAAACATCGATGTCACATGGAAAACATCAGGAAGACCTGAGGCAAACTGTTAAACAATCAAGGGAGCCCCTCCCCAACAAAAAAAGGGTTCCTTCTTCAGCGTCCCGACTGTAGGAAACCCTGGGGGCCCGGCGCGGGAGCAGGGTGCGCCGCTGGATCTCCCCAAGGGGTGGGTGGGGGGTTAGGACCCCCCCCCCCCCTCCCCGATCCGTCGTCGGGGTCCCCCCCACACTCCCCCCCTTCCCCGACCCGTCGTCGGGGACCCCCCACCCCCCGTCCCCCCCCTTTCCCCGACTCGTCGTCGGGGACCCCTCCCGCCTCCCCCCCTTTCAAAAGGGGGGGGGGGTCCGACCCCCCCCCCCCTTTCGCCACGCCGCCCCCTGACTCCGGAACCCGACCCCCGCCACCCCTACCCCTTAGTCCTCACGGTAACCCAAACCCCTAATCCTACCCCCAACCACTAACCCCAGCCCCAAAGAGTACTCACTACTCATGACTCACTACCCACTACTGACTACTCGCTATTCGCTACTCACTTCTCACTACCCCCTACTCACTACTCACGACTCACTACTCACTATCCACTACTAACTACCCACCACCCACTACTCGCTACTCACTACTCCCTACTCACTACTCCCTCTTCCCTCCTCACTACCCACTACTCAATACTCACTAAGCACTACTCACTACTCCCTACGCACTACTCACTAATCACTACTCATTACCCACTACCCACTATCCACTACTCACTACTCACTACTAACTACTGAGTGCCCACACATCACTACTCACTACCCACTACTCGCTACTCGCTACTCACTACTCCCTACACAATACTGACTACACAGTACTCTGTACTCACTACTCGCTACTCCCATACTCGCTACTCAATACTCACTACTCACTCCCCGCTACTCACTATTCACTACTCACTACTTACTACTCCCTACTCACTAGTCACTACATAGTCTCGACTCACTAGTCTCACTAGTCACTAGTCCCTAGTCGCTACTCACTACCCACTATCCACGACTCACCAATCGCTACTCACGACCCACTATTCGCTACCCACTTCTTGTTACTCGCTGCTCACTACTCCCTACTCCCTACTCCCTGCTCCCTACTCACTACTCACTTCTCGCTACCCCCTAATCGTTACTCACTAATCACTATCCACTACTCACTACTGACTACTCTCTACTTACTCACTACTCACTACTCACTACGCCCTACTCGCTCCTCGCTACTCACTACTCGCTACTCCCTACTCCCTACTCACTACCCACTGCCACTACCCACTACTCTCTATTCATCACTACTCACTAGTCACTACGCACTACTCAATACTCAATACTCACTATTCACTATTCACTACTCACTACTCACTACTCACTACTCACTACTCAGTACTCACTACTCACTACTCACTACTAACTACGCACTACCCACTACTCACTACTCACTAATCACTACTCGCCACCCACTATTCACTACGCACTAACTCAATACCCACTACTCATTACTCCCTACTCCCTACTCAGTACTCACTAATCGCTGCTTGCTACTCACAACTCACAACTCACTACTCGCCACTCACTACTCAATACACACTACTCACTGTTCACTACTCCCTACTCGCTCACTACTCACTACGCACTAACTCACTACTCACAACTCACCACTCCCTACTCCCAACTCCGTACTCCCTACACGGGGGGGGGGTCCGACCCCCCCCCCCTTTCCAACGCAAAGGCGGGGAAGGGGGGGGGGGGGTCTGGACCCCCCTCCCCCCTTGAAGGGGAGGAGGGGGTGGGGGGGTTCTGGACCCCCCCCCCCTCCTTTAGTGTATTCAGGGAGATCCACTGGCGCACTTTCGCGATCTCACGTGGCTCTCGCCAGAGGAGCACGGCACGCGCTGGAACAGAGGAGCGCCCCGCGGAGGCAGCGGAGGCAGGAGCAGCGGCACAGTCGGGGCCTTGACCTAAGGAACCCAAAACAAGGAACGAGGCCTCTTTTTCCCAAAAGTTGAACTTCGATTCCCCATGGAAAACCTAAGGACAACCCAAGGCAAACTGCAAAACAATCAAGGAACACCGAACGCCTCCCCAACGAAAAGGGTTCCTTCTCCAGCGCCCCGACTGCAAGGCAGCAGAGGCGGCAACGGCGAACCTGCCACAGCGCAGAAGCAGTGAGAAGCGACTGCGTCTTCTTCGGTGGTGGCACATCTTGAGGCTGCCCTCGTGGTGGCGAGAAACAGAAGCAAACGACGCAGACACGCCAGTGCTTCGGAATTCCAGAAGACGACGGGTGGTGAAACGGACCAGCAGCAACGACAAAACCGATGAGTGCTATTCCCCCCCACGCGCGTTAGACTTCTGTAGAGAAAGAGGGCATGCGGAGGCAACAGGGCAGGGGCAGACGCAAGGCAGGCACCGGCGAACCTGCGACGACGCAGAAGTAGCGACACACCGAAGGCGATGCGATGTCAACACGCAGGCAGCTCTAGAAAGGAACGCACCAGCGTTTCAGGCTTCTCTCATGGACACC